CCGTTCGAAACGAAGCAGAATGATCCATGGTAAAAGTTTCGTAAACACACTTTTCTGAAGTGGCAGAGAAAGAATCAGCAACGACGGCTCCGGGAGTGCTTGGTAAAGAAAGAATGGAAGCAGAAACGTTCGCTACAGTGTGAGAGTCTTGATTTTGGCCCTGAACAACTGCGTCGCTTTTGCTGGAAATTTTCTGGCGTGAATCGAACAGCGCAAGTGCAGCAGCGGCGGTTGGCGGAATCTGCGGCGGAGTAAAAAAGGTAAGAGAATTATAATTCTCTTCAAAGTAACTTTTTGACGCTTTCAGGAGCACTTGCGGTGAGGTCATTGTGTGGCTATAGTAATCTAAAATAAAGATCTGGAACAGAAAGCAAGTTCTTCGTGACATACCATTCAGGGGAGTATTCTGAAGCACCTTTTGCGTTTCCACGGTTGCCACGAATGGATTCACAGGACCTTTGTCATGGGCAACTGAAAAATCTTGCTTCGTTATCTGACCCACGGGTAACTTCTCCGTAGATTCAGGCTCCAATGGCTCCTGTCCCAAACAGCAAACATTCAAGGGAGACGTCGGTTCACCCTTTTGGTTAGAGCTAGCATTGTTTCTTTTGGAAGCCTCCATGGACGTTTGAAATTCAGATGATATGCACTTTTTAGAACTAAATGAATGCAATGTATAAACTGACACATTATTATCGATTAAATTGCAAATAGCATTCCAAAATGCAGAGCACCTAACAGTAAAACTATTAAAATCATTGCATTGTCGCCACAGATGGATTAAAGAACACCTGTTTTGCGACTGTAAACCTAATTGGTTTATCAACTTGTCAAGTGCTGCATGCCATGCATCATATTGCAGTCGTTCGAAAGCTTCATAATAGCCTACATACAGACTTTGAAGTCAGCTATAAAGAAGACAAGAGCGTTATACCAAACATTATGACCATCATGTTGTATGTCAAAACCACGTATCGTAATTCAGTCAACGAATGCCATTCAAATCAGGTATCAATTATTCATCACCTAAGATTGAATCACTGACTGCAGGAAAGAGGATCGTTAACTGAACAGTAGAGATCTGGCGCAATTGGATCGAGTGCGAATTAATAGGAAAGAAGAAGCGCATTTATCGCATTTATCATTTATTTATAGAAGATGCACTTATCGAAATTCAGCATAACTCGTGCTTTGACCCTCCAGTTATCTGACTCCTCTCAGTGCTGAAGTTGGGCATATTCATTATAGAATGGACGAAATTTGCCCAGGATCATCACCATGTTTCACACAGACTAAACTCTTTTACCTCACTCATTAATGTAGTTTAATCCACTTCACAAAATAATCTGCTAGACGACTCATTTCATTATCTTCACGCAGTATTAATACGTATTCCCTTCAGCCGATAGACAGTCATGTCAAGACAATGACTTAAAGATGTTCTGTGATACCGCATAGGGTTCGCATTTTACGGCAACAAACCATTTCAATTAGACCTGCTAACGGACTAATTACGTCTGGAACATGAAAGTACGTTTTCTTCATAAATACGTTCATGAGTATTGTCCTGAGCATCTGTTTAGGACCGCTGTCTCCACCATATTGATAAAGCTCACATTCGAAAATAAAATGAAACGGCTAAATGACTAGCTGCTATCCATCTGGGGTGTCCTCAGGTTGCAAACGGTGGAAAGACCTTCCGGTATGGAACTCAACGGTCACAAATAAGCAGTCGCGGAGAGGTAGCGGTGAAATTACCAGGGCTTAGCTGGGTTCGAGCACGAAAAGTTCGATCTTTCAAGAAAAAGTCAGAGTACCAAATGACAGCTTCCCCTCGGTGCGAAAACGACCCGCACTTTTGAACAAAAAGCCCCCCCCCCCATATCACCGCTACCTTGAAATTACACGTAAGTTCGTCACAGTCTAGAGAAGGTAACATCAATTTAAAAAAA